TTTTTTTTTTTCCCCTGAGGCTGCCACTTGAAAGTTGAAATCTAGCAAGAATGTAATGTTAGGTGCCAGCTTTCTGAATTACAGGGTGACTGCCCGAGCTGATCCTAAAAAGCAAGTGTCTTTTTTATACCGCATAAAAGGCTGAAATGTTTACATATCAAAAGGCTATAGGCCAATTTCTGTCAAAATTACACATGAAGTTAAGCAGTACAAGCAATTTATTTAAACACTAGTCATTGTAGAAAAATTCAAAACCATATGCTCTTTTAGCAGTTTTTCACAAATGCATTTGACCCATGACTTGGGTAGACATACAAGCTTCATAATTTACTCTAAATTTCAAATCCCCTTGACGTTTAAATAAAAGATCTTCATTAATGAGGTTTACATGAATGAAAACTTTAGAAGCTGATATCGGCTAGCGCGAGGGGCTTCAGGAACGGTCTGCGCCCGCTCTCATTTTCAAATGACTGACTGACTTTGCTAATCATTTCAAGAGAAAGTTCCTCTGAGAACAAATTATCGTCATTTGCATTCTGTGATTTGCCAAAACAACGGCGCTTTCAAGTCACTTTGAAACAAACTTTGGTTAATAGCCCTGCCGAAAGCAGATTCCTGCCACCCCAGAAAACCAAGCTGTTTTCTTCCAGGCCTTGGGAATGCGCCACTTCTCGACACTCCCTCTATTCCCTCAGGGCTGTGGAGCTTTTCTCACACCTTGATTATTTCGTCCTTAGGGACTCTGGGGCTTTTGTTCCGGACATTACAAAACTTCCAGTAAAAATCAGTAAGCATACATCTCGCCGAATGTGGGAGCCCTGGCACTTGGCAATCCCCGCGCGGCACCCAGTGGCTTTTTGCTCCCCTCCCCCCAAAACCCCCTGAGGACACCGAAGGGGCCCCCCTGGAGCAGGCGGTCCATGGAGCGGGTTTTGAGCGTGAGTTTTGAGACACTGGATTTTTTTTTTTTTAAGCCCAAGTACAAACAACAAAACCAATTCCCAATTCGCGTGGTGAAGACTGCGCTGGAGTCGGCGCTGCGCACTGGTGACAGCCCGGTCCTAATTCCTGAGATCTAAATAATGCACCCTGCGACCAGGACCGGGACTCCATGCCTTTGAAAAGGACACGCCAGCTGTTTTCACATGACATGAAAAATCCTACTTAAACCGCCCGATTATGAACTCTGCTCTGTGGCCAGGCAAGAGACTGAGAGAATTAAGAAAGTCCCAAAAGCGGACCATAAGAAGTTGAAGCCTCCGATGCATTTTCCCCCCAGGATGAGGGCTGGGCGTAAGGATAGTGCGACGACAGTTTTTGCCTTGATGAAAAAATCTCGGGGTGGGAGGAGACACTTAGACGCACGCTCCAAACTTGGGCACTCTGTTTTAAATCAAAGAAGCAATTTAATCTACGCCCTACGAATCCATTTAGCGATGACCGCAGCGCGAAAGCGCTTTGAAAGATGCGGAACAGCAAATATACCTTATGCACGTGGAATCTGCTGATCTATTCTTTAATGTCTAAAAAATGAGGGCTATTACCCGGGCGAGTGGCTCCTCAACAAACACATTTTCATAGACTTCGGCGTGGTGATTGCTTTGTGTGAAATCGTGTTTGGGTGATAATAGGGAAAATCAGCAGCGTGTTTACTGCATTTCCGACCTAAGCGCCCGGCGGCCGCCTCTGGACGCTCCCGGCCCTCCCATGCTGAGCTGTGCGTGCGGGGCAGACAAACAATCGCTTAGCAACTCGAGGCGGACAATTTGCGTGCGAAGCATTTGTTATTCCAATTGCGCGGGGCGATGCGGGCCGCTGATTGATTGTTTAGCGCTTCTTGGACACTTGTGGGTTTCCGCCCGAGGAGAAGGCGCAGCCGGGGCACCGGACTCCCAACTGCCTTCTCCCGCGCCTGCCTCCCCGCGGACAAAGTGGAGCGATTGCAGACTGAGGGGGCAACCTGATGGCGGAGGCCCCACGGAGCTGGAGAGCCAGAGAATAGCCCGTGCAGGATGGCCCCTTCACGGAGAACAAAGCTTTTAGACTTCTCCCCTTCTCTGAGACAGAGATGCAGGGACCCTGCCCTGGCTGGGGGCAGAGGTGGGAACAGCACACAGATCCCAATGAAAACAACCAAATGCCCCGAGTCCATGCCCTGCTTAGCGAAAGGGTAACGATGACTCTCATTAAATGTTAGGGTTGGGAGGGACTGGACTAAGGTGGGACTTAGTTCAACCGATCGAGTAAAAATCTTGAGGTCTCCTGAGCGAGATAATGTGCAAGGTGGCATCGCTTGGTCTAGAACTCCGTCGCTCAGACTCATTCTAAAGTGCTCTTTCTTCCAGGGGTCGGGGGCTGTAGGGAAGTGAGGGGCGCAGTCTATGAGATCTCTAAACCTGGTTATTAAAAAGAATACTGCATCAAGCAGAAGGAGACCCAGAGGGGTATGTGGAGGAGGTTGGATTATACTTTTTGAAGCACGCTCCTAGGTCTGAGACCGAAATCTTGGCGCCATCCTGGTTACATCTTTGCAGAAAGGAGGAATCTGCCCCCAAACATCCCGCACCCCCCTTTAAAGGACCCACTGGCGCGCACAGGGCAGCGCGCACCAGCCACGCACAGAACACAAGTAAACGCTGCTCAAGGCGCGAACCCAGGAGTCTTCCACGGATTGCCCTGTAGGGTCAAAACCGGGAAAGGTTGGCCGGAGCATGTGCCCTAGACCCCGCTGACTGTGAAATCTCTGAGAACAGAAAAAATGCCTCCATCCTCCCTTAGTAGAAGTAAGGCCACTCCACTTCCCACCCTAGACGTGACTCCCCGCAAATCCCAGCCTCTTCTCAGTAGCTTTTAACGTGCCAGTGTTTAAATCGCCTCCCCTCCCTGAAACCCGTCTCTGTCTTGTCCGAACTTCCCTACAATCACCTCTACTTCGCGAAGCCCTTGAAGAAGCAAGTCCCTCAGGTCACTAGCGAGTGGGCGTGAGGACACACAGGGCCATGCCGGGAAGGCCTAGCCAAAGCGCCGCCGCCTGGTTTCATTTAGCAGCTCCTTTGCGCTGCCGGAGTTCTGCGCCCCCGCAGGACCGAACCCCTGCCACCCAGGAACATCAATTAACAAGTGGCCTTTCCCCCTTGGCCCCGCGGGAAGGCGTAGCCCACTTGGCCTTACTGTGGCGACTTCAGACTGCGCTGGGGGACCCCTGGTTAATTAGCCGGAGAGAAATCGCGGAAAATGGGTATGAGTTAAAGACGGCCTTGTCTCGGGAACTCCAAGATGCCCCCCCACCCCAACCCTAGGCGTTCTCGCCTGGGGTCAGGTGTTGCCCTCGCCCTGGAGTGGTCAGAGTAGCCTACGCGAAGGGCTGAGGAAGGACCGCTCTGTAAACCGGGGCTCGCACCCGGCGCACAGGACCGCGGGGCCAGCTTTCGTTCCGCGCGTCCCGCCGCCTACCTTCTCCAGGGCGCTCGGCCGCCTGCGCACGGACGCGAGCTGGCTGCGG